GCCCATACAGGGCAGGGATTGGCAGCTAATGACACAGGGCAGGGCTGAGAGCCAGACCAGAAAATGAAGGGCAGGGCCTGGCATGGTGATGCAGGGAGGTGGGTGACGCTAGACTGGGCTGCTGCGACTGGGTGCTGAGGAGCTCAGCCTGGCCCAACTCCTGGCTTTTCCAACAGATCCTGCAGCTGAGGACAGGACTTGCTGATGAGGATGGAAGTTCTGGGGGTTGATGAGGTGACACATGGGCTATGTCAGTTCACACCCACTTACTCTTTCTTGCTATTCTTATACCAGGGCCACTTGCAGGGTGGAGCTGTGTGCTACTTGTCTCCAGGGCCCAGCACAGAGCCCAACACAGAGCTCAACACAGGGCACGTGCTCATTAGTTGGAGAACAAGCGAGCCGGGCTGGATCCACTCTACTGGGAGGCCAGCCTTGCAGCAGATGTCAGCGTCAGCCCGGACGGACAACGGGAGTCCAACGTAAGCAAAGTGGAGTCTGCTCAAGGAAGTGCGATGGGAATAACAATGATGATGGCAATGATAACAATCATGTAAAATTATCATGATTAATTAGTGTAGAATTAATTCACAGTGGATATGAGTCATTAATGTGGTTATTAGGACTGTGGGTTCTGGAGTGAGACTGCCAGACTGAAGCCTTGCCTCTGCGCTATGTAACCGCCATCATGTCTTCTGTTCTGCACCTCAGTTTTCTTATCTACAAAATGGGGCAATGCTGCATAGCTGTTTGTGAGGGTTTCCAGAGGTGAGCTGTGCATGAAAAATGGGCACAATACCTGATTACATTAAATGATCAATAAATTTCAGACTCCCTTCAACTTTCTGTTCTTTTCCTGGTTATTATTACTATTTTTTAAAGTATATTTGGTACAGAGTCTATGGGGTCTCACTATACAGATTGGACTTGTAGTGATCCTCCTGCTTTTAGCCTCCCAAATGCTGAGATTACAGGCATGCACCACCATGCCCAGTCTTAACTGCCATCTCAGCACGCCCTGGGGGCGGGGCTGGCACGGCATTGGGTGTAGGGATCGAACCCCAGTCTCTGTGCTTTGCCTAAGCAGGTGCTTTAGTCCACTGAACTGTCTGTCTGGCCTCTCCTGGTTATGTCATGTATGAGCACATGCTTCGGACCGATGTTGCCTGAGCCTCAGGGGCAAATCACTAAATCTCCCTGTGCCTTGGTTTCCTTACGCATAATCACATGAAAACACTGACATCCAGTACCCCCACGTTGGAGGGAAAATGACTAGAATGGGGCAGAGGAGGGTTTTGGGGGCTGGTCATATTGTTTCTTGATCTGGATCGTGGCTACATGGGTGTGATCACCTCCCTATAAACTTGTACTTCATACTACGAAAGTAAATAATACAGAGCTCACTGGCTTGTTTTGGTAATTCAGTGAATTGTGTCTGGTATATAATTAGCATTAGATATTAGTTATTATGAGTAGCTAACATAGCAAATACTTCTACTAACAAGAATGATTCCACCGAGAATGCACTTTGTTGTCAGAAAATACACTTGCAGTGATGGGCACCTGCAAGCCATGTACTGCTTCTTTAGTCTCTCCTGTCTCCCTCTAGTGAGGAGCAGGGCAGAACATTACCAAGGCCCTTCTGAGATGCTTTGTAGTCCTGGGTCCCCTTGCTATGGGAGGGTGGTGGGACTGAGGGGCAGCAGCAGGACCCAGAGAGACTAGGTTTCGTCTTCTTGAAGTCCTAGTTACCAAACTCAGGGAAAGTTAATTAAATTTAGTTGGGCCTCGGTTTTCTTATCTATCAAATAAGTCTACAACTGCTTCCTACATAGGGTTGTGAGAGGGTTAAGTAAAAAGGCAAGTAAATAGTAACTTTTTTTTTACCTAGCAGCATGTTCCCACCTATCCAGGATGCTGGTGTGGACCACAGGTGGGCTTCTCTTTATGGAAGTCATATCTGGAGGCCAGCAAGCATCATCTATTCTCTTACAGCTATGTGAGGCCACAGTGCCACACCAACAGGATCACCAAGCAAAGGGAGGGGTCCAGGCCCTTGCTTTGAGAGGGCATGGCTACCCCTGAATCAGTGCATGCTCATGCCCTCAAACTTCTGTGATTTGGTTCAAAGAAAGCCTAGCCCAAGTTTATCCCCCATGAAAGATACAATAGCTGTGACTCCTGAAAAAATGCCAGATGTCCTTCCTAGTACAAATGCTTCCTAGCAGTCTCTTTTGTTTTTTGGACAGGTAGAGAATACAGTTAGAATTAAACAAAATGATGCATCTTAGTAGTTTATTAGTAAAAATCTTATACTAAATGATTGCTGCTGGTTTGTTTTTTTTTAATTTATTTTGTATAGGGTCTCACTGTGTAACTCAGACTCCTAGTGATTCTCCCGTTTTCAGCCTCCCCAGTGCTGGGATTAAAGGTGTGAGCCACCACACCCTGATTCAGTACTGGCTCAGTGTGCCCAGTGGCAGGGCCGGGGCCAGCATGACATTTAGTGCCAGGGATCGAACCCTGGTTCCTGTGCTTGCCCAAGCAGGCGCTTAGTCCACTGAGCTATCTTGCCAGTCCTGCTGCTGGGTT